TTTCCTTAAGAAAATCTCTGTGCCCAGAGCAGAACAAATTATTATTGCAATCTACAAATACACAAACATTGTTTTTCTCCCCTCTCTGCATGTTTTGTTACACCATCCTCTCTTGTGTTTTGGGGGGCTCCAGTCTTAATTTATGCAAAATTAATTGATATATCTTTTATAATTGATGTGCTGTAAAATTAATGAGTAATTTATGTAATTAGTCAATTAAGGATAATTCCAGCATATGTTCAATATGCCCAGAAGGTGTACTTTACAAGTAGTTATTTGTCCAGGAGTTCGATGCTGAGAAAACTACCTAATTAATTTTTTATGCATATCAGCTTAGTATCTATTTAACAGCTCCCTTTGTGATAGCAGATTTAATATTTATCTTTCTAACATGTCTGAGAGAATGTAAAATGGATTAGCCTCATGGTACCTTTAAGAAGGCCCTTTCACTCCAACGGCTTCTCACTTTAATCATGAGAGCGCTTTGCTCCATATGATCTCCAACACTCGCGCACACTTAAAGGTGTGGCGCCTAGTGTCAGGGACATTATAAATAGCCATCATTAGAAAATGTTTATGGGCAACGCAGAGATCATCTGGACGCATCTTTTTATTATTCGTCTTCTTTTCCTGTCGATGACCCTTTAAATGTATCTTAGAAGACTTAAGGGGCTGCCGAGGCATAGTGAGATAGATCTGTTGGCTAATTAATTGACACTGTTTTGAATATTCATATCTAATATAGCCAGTATGCTCTTAATTACATTGTTGGACTTTTCTCCAAGGAGGCTAAATCACCAAAGACTTAATTAATATAATGTATTCCAGAACTGGCTGGCTCTAAAGGAAGACAGTTGCTGTCAAGAGTTGCACCATGACACCTGGCTGCTGATGAACAGTCTTTTGTTATTACTCTTTGCAGGAGACCGAGAAAGTTTTTATTGTTGTTGTTGCTATTAGTAGTAGCGTTATGTTCTCTCCTTTATTTAAAGAGAGAGCAAGTGCGAAAAGCTCTGCCGCCAAGGACGGCTCATTTACACCTCGCACACGTCGCGAATCGGGACTGCCGTCAGCTCCAGCGGCGGTCGCTCAGGTGTTCCGCGGTCCTGCGCGGCCCCGCGCCCCGTTCGGCTCCCCTCGGCTGCGCTCCGCTCTGCTCCTCTCGGCTCCGCTCAGCTCTCTCTCCGCTGGCCCGTACTGAGTGCCCAGACGCGCGGCGCGGGCAGGAGGAGGAACCTCCGAGGGCGGGAGATGCTGGAGTGTTGCAGGGAGACCGCGGCCTTCCCACCAACCGGCTCGGACATCCTGCTCACAGTCGACTCACACATTTGCAGCCGAGGCGGCAGTCCTGCGTTTTCCTTTTAGCGCAGGTGGCATCGTGAGCAGCAGCCGCATCTCCCCGCCGTGACCACCGCCAGGAGAGAGGGCTAAACCGGGGCCACGCCACCACAACAGGTTTTTGACGGAGGCCCTAGCCGTCCTGGTCTCTACCCAACCTAACTTCCTGCTACCAGCAACACCCAAAGCCCCCAAACTGCTGGTCACTTCCAAAGTTACACTGGCAGCACGGGCTGTTCGTGCAGGCAAACCACTCTCTGACATCGGCGGGACTCCGCCGAGGCGAGACGCGAAAGCGTGGGGTTAGTTTGGGAAGGGAGATGTGGGTGGACACCTACGTGTCGCTTTGAAGAGACCAACCGATCTCTCTTCGTAAAACAGCGAGCCATAAAATACGGTTCAGCTCTGCTGTTTTCTTGGTGTATTTTCTCGCCATGGAGAGCGATCCGTTCCCGGGAGCGGAGGATGCCCTCATCCTTCGCTGCATCCTCCTCTCATGAAAGTCGGATTATGCTTCATTCTTCCTGACTTCGCTTCGCCTTAAAATTAGCATCGGCGCCAGTAAGCCGTGACTAACAGAAAGACTAGGTAACAGGTGAAACCGGCAGAAGAAAAGGGTTAAAAATCGAAGAGGGAGGTCAAAGAAGAGGAAGAGCGTCTCTGTGTTGGCATTACCTGTCTCAATGCAAGAGCAGAGCCAATCCTCCAATGAAACCCGTGGACCTTGAGCTAAAGGCTTGAAGGAGGAGGCTGGAGGTGAAGGCATTTTCCCTGCCCGAAGATACCTCTCCCGTCAAGGAGAGAGCATAGCTTGACTCTTACCAAACGCTGTTTTGAAGCTGGCCGTCCACCAAATGCAGCTCGACTAATTTTTCCTCAGTGGTGCAGCCCTTGACAAATGAAGCTTTTTTTTACCCTATGTCAACAAAACCCTCTTTAACTTAACCTTACTAAGGCAGGGAGACTGCGGCAAAACTAGAAGTCAGGTATGCCTAATGTAGCGCCAGACATGCGAAGCAAGACAGATAAAGGTGATAGTCACTCCACCAACGTCACGGCCATCTTCCAAGGGTAGAGCTTTGCCCGTGAATTGAAGGCGTCTGAGGAGTGGGAAGAGAAGTAACTTCCCGAGAGCAAAACTTTATAGTGACTTCCTGATTGGAAAAAAAAAAAAAAAAAAAAAAAAAAGCCCGAGAAACCATGTTTCCACGTCGGGAGGGTTGTAGAGATAACTGGAGTAACCCAGGGTGACTACCAGCAGTGTATCATTTGTACAACGTTACCCCCTTGAAATCTGAACTGGCCTGGTTGATGTCAGACCGAATACCCTGAGGTGTTTTCTTTTGATGAATTGTCTCAGAGGCTTCAAGAAATAGGTCTCGCTTTCGCAAATAGCTGGGTGGACCGCAGCCCCGCAGTGTCGTTGCCCCATAAAAGCGCATACTAACTGACCAGCAACTAGCCCGTGCATGAAAGCACTTTTCTGATAGCTTGGGAAGGGCTCCCGTTAATCGCGGGCTTGCCTCGACATCCTCTTGCTTAGCAGAAGTCCCACCTTGGAGGCTGACGGGAGCGCAGAGCTGGAGGCACGCAGCCTCGGGTTTCCCGCAGCGGTGCCCGCCGGAGGATGGTGCCCAGGTAGCTCCGGGCGACACTGGTCCTTCCTTCCCAGCCTCCACTATACCTTCCCGGCGAAAGAGAGAGTCACCACTGCCCCTGAGAGCGGCCGCGTTTGGGAAGGGTTGGGAGAAGAAAAAATGTAAACAGTGCATTTCGGGTCTCACCGGTCTTCTGGTCTAGGTCGGTTCTCCCGTGAAAAATAAAATCCGGGTGCACAGCGATGTTAATGTGCGAAAGGACCAGGCTAAACCCTCACACTTGCCGTACGGGGGTAAAACGCCGGATTACTAACTGGTGAGGTGAGGCAGACAATGACTTTAAGATCCAGGACTTAGACTCTGAGGATAGAAGCAGGGGTTTTAATCAGTTAGGATAGGATTAATCGGTAAAACACGAGTAAAACATTTTTGGGGAAATGTACAGATGCATCAGGTAAGATGTCGGAATGTCGGCTCTCGCCGTTCTGGCAATACGGGAGACGCATCCCAAGGTGCTAGAGGTAAATGTTGCTGCCAGCGTGTCTCCTAGTTTCTCAGAGGGACAGTGAATGCTTTGAACAATAATCTGAAACGTTTTTTTAAGCACTTGCTTTCAGGCAAAACTTGGTTTTCAAAATCGCGGCTACTTATTCTGATCCTTTACCTTTGATTACGCTCTTCATTTGACTGACCTTGATCAGGTATAATACTGCTAAATACACATTATTTGAAGGAGGGTTTTAAATTAATGTTTTCCTTCGACCCCCTAGCAGAGAGTATAAGCAGACATTCAAACGCGTTTTCTTTTTGGTTTCTCTCACTCTTCCTCTTCGCTACCTGCAACGCCTCACTCGGAGACAGACAACCAAGTCTGATGCTCAAACCAACTCCCCCGACGGCGAGAGCGGAGCGCAGGCGGCACGACCGGCTGGGTTCTGCCCCAGCGCTGCTGCAGCCGCCTCTACCTGCGCGGGACAGACACCCGTGGAGTCTGACCCGCTGCACCAGTCTGGAAGGGTGGGCTCAAAAAAGCTCTTACATATATATACATACATACATATATACATATATACATACACACACACACACACACACATATAGGTTGAAAGAGCCTTCAACCTATTTGTTTATTTAGCCAATAAAAGTGGGACTAATAATTTAAACGCAGGTAACTCTTCCAGCATCTCGCTAATTGAGCTCTGGTAGGTGCTTACGTTGAGCAGGGTCTCTTTCAACTCTAGCAGCAGCTAAGAGAGTAGGCTTTCCTATTTCTCTCTCAAATCTACAGCCTACCTCTATAATGCAGTACGTTTGTTGCACTGTCGTTGATTCCTACTAATGAGCCGATCTGGCGCTAAGTAGCCCGTCTCGAAGCATGCAGATGATGCTTCGGCTGGTTCTTTCCACGTTTTCTATGAGCCGCGTCGCGGCGAGTAGCAGGAGTTGACCTTAACGACTCGGAGAGGACAGAGTAGGATTTTTTTGCATTTCTCTTGTTTATCTGCAAGTCTCTGAGTAACTTCTTAAACATAATGACAGGAATGATAAAAGATTACTCCAAGGGGCCTGTATTTCCCGCTTGCTGTCACGCGGGGCTAGCTCGAGGGCCGCTTCCCTGGGGTGCTTGGCACGCTAGCCCCAGGGAGGAGGAAAGACCTCTTACCGTTTTCCACCTCCTGGTGGTGCGGTGCTCTTGAAGGCCCTTCACGCCTACTGCTGGAAGCCGGGCTGTGCGGGAGCGAGGGGCCAAAAGGAGGAAAGTGGATAATAGGGGGGCTGCGAAAGGGGCAGTAGTGGGGAAGCTGAGGTGGCAGAGGGGGGAGGAGGAATCTTCCCTGCCTGGGCCGCTGTTCCCTGCCCTGTGTTTTGAAAGCAGATCTCGGTCTCACATGGAGTTTTTCTCTTCCCCTGGGCTCCACCTCGCCCTGCTGAGAAGGTGTGAGTGAAGGGGGAGCCGGGAGCCTCTTCTCGCTCCTCTTCCATGAGACGCCAAGTCCCCGTGCGTCTGTCATGTGATAGCAAGAGAGCAGGAGCTGCGAGGGTCTCCCGTCTCGGGCACCATTACAAAACTGCGCTGGAGCGCGCAAGCCCCGCCACAGCCACGGCCGCCGCCTCGCTCGCCTCCTCTCCCTGACGGCTCCTGGCGCTGGCCTCCGCCGCAAACTTTTCACCGGACTGAGCGGTGAGAGGGACATTTATATTTCCTTCCTCCGCATCTCTGTAGAGGTCCGGGGTAATTTCATGCTCATGTCTGAGGAGCACCAACTCCAGTAGAGTGTGTCAGGCAGCAGTGGGGAAGTCCAGGAGGCTCAGTGGCCTCCAGGAGGAAAGCGGGGACGCCAGCGGGGGCAGGGACCGGGCTCGGCCCCGTAGCCCCTGAGACTCCGCGGCCTGGGCAGCAGCTGTGTCTCCCGCAGGCAGCGGCGCGGCGAGGCAAGCGCATCCCGCGGGGTGAGGCTGCTGGAAGGAGCCGTGTGCGAGCCCGCCGGCCGGCTGCGAGGCGGTCACGATCGCCTGTGGCCCGTGGAGGTGGCGCCCAGGATGTAGAAACGGTGACTGGGCAGAGCAGCGCCGTTCCCCGCATCCCGAGTCCGCCGTGCACGACACTTAGTGGTACCCGCCTTGGCGCGGTGGGATCGTGCGGCCGCGGGAGGACTGTGGCGGGGCGGCGATGCCCAGGCCGGGGAAGAGTTCGTACAGCGACCAAAAGCCGCCTTACTCTTACATCTCCCTGACGGCCATGGCCATCCAGCACTCGGCCGAGAAGATGCTGCCCCTGAGCGACATCTACAAGTTCATAATGGAGCGATTCCCCTACTACCGGGAGCATACCCAGCGCTGGCAGAACTCCCTCCGTCACAACCTCTCCTTCAACGACTGCTTCATCAAGATCCCGCGGCGACCCGACCAGCCGGGCAAGGGCAGCTTCTGGGCGCTGCATCCGGACTGTGGGGACATGTTTGAGAACGGCAGCTTCCTCCGCCGCCGCAAGCGCTTCAAGGTCCTGCGCCCCGAGCACCACCTGCCTGGCGGCGGCGGCAGCGGGACGGGCAGCGGCGGTCCCGGCAAGCCCCCGGCGCCCACCCCGCACATGGTGCACTACTTCCATCCGCACCCGCCGCCACCGCCGCCTCCCTCGGGCAAGGTACCGGGGCTGGCAAGCTCCGAGGCGGCCGTGGCCGCAGCCGCGGCAGCTGCAGCGGTGGGGAGGCTACCGCAGTTTTCGCCCTACGGGAGCAGCCAGCCCTCGGGCTTCAAGCATCCCTTCGCCATCGAGAATATCATCGGCAGAGATTACAAGGGTGTACTGCAGGCCGGTGGGCTGCCGCTGGCCTCGGTGATGCACCACCTGGGCTACCCGGTGCCCAGCCAGCTCAGCGGCGTGGTGAGCTCCGTGTGGCCACACGTGGGGGTGATGGACTCCGTGACCAGTGTACCCGTGTCCCCTGACTACGGACCCTTCGGCGTGCCCATGAAGGCGCTCTGCCACCCGCCGGCACAGACCATGCCGGCTGTCCCGGTGCCCATCAAGCCGGCGCCGGCAATGTCCACTGCCTCGGCCATCCCTGCTCTGACGGTCTCTGCCTCGCAGATCTGCCCTGCTGCTTCCCCGGCCGCTGCTTCGTTGTTGGAACAGGCCGCGAGCAACAACCCCGAGGGCAAGGGCTCCCTCCACTCCGTCCTGGTGCACTCCTAAAGAGCAGGGGGTCGAGGGGGAGAGAGGTCCCCAGGCTCCCAGAGGAAAGGACGCGGGGCTTCAGAGCATGCATGCGGCACGGAAACCCGATCGATCTTATGACTATACCCCTGCTGGTGTCTGTATTTTTACCGTGTACAATCAGATTATTTGAGAGCTAGATCGCAGGTAAGAGCTTTTATCGTCAATCGCTAAATGTCATTAGTAGCGGAGAGGTGGCGTGAAAAATCATAGCTGGGGTCAAAGGGGCTGGCTTCGAGGAAAGGACAGAGAGGGAAGGTCTCCTCGACACCCCATCAGCCTGAAGCCATGCAGCCTGGGCTACCCGCTGAGCCCCTCTCCCGGGGCGGCCATCCCGGAAGTCCCACAAAAGCCGTGCTCGGGGGGAGAGGGGCTGCAATCTGCCGGCGGCTGGGGGGAGCAGAAGGATAAAGCCCCTGCTGAAATCTGCTTCTCCCTCTTCCACGACGGACGGGAAAACTCTGCCCCGCCGTCCCGTAGATCTTGCTCCGAAAGAGGTGGGCAAAGCCTTGGACCCTGGAGAGCTGCAGGGTCCCAGGTCATGTAATGCTCGCTGTTTAAAGAATAAGCTTTAAATAGCTCGACTAAGAAGCGAGAATTTAAGTGACAATGGCACTGACGGCGAAGAGTTCCTTTAACTAACGACCACCTACCCTTCCCCTTCACACTGTCATAGTCTGTTCTATAGTACCTTAGGAGGGACTGAAGCGTGACCCGGCCTCTCAAGCCGTGTGTGAGTGTCCGAGTTCCCTAGTTTCTCATTAAAATAAAACCAGCCCGGCGATTCGTAGATTGTGCTTTTCAGATCACCTTTCACCTCTCACGGACACCACTATTTTATATGTGTTGCTTGACGTTTCTTCCTCGTGAATCTGAACACAAAAACCTGCGGGTGGAGGTGGGGGCGGAGAGTGAAAGAGGTGGGGGAAAGTGGAGGAAGACAATGGAAAAATGGTTAAAAATTATTTGGGCAAAGCAGTTTAATGAAAGCAACCTTCCAACACACGAGAGGTCTGTGTAAGCAGAGGCATCAGAAGTCAGAGAGGGATGCGCTAGCTGATGAGTCCCGACTGATTTGTGAGTGATTGCTGCCGTACCCTGTCTGCCCTGCTGTACACCAATGCTCATTAAAGCCAATTGCTGGTACTGTTATTTTAAATGCTGGCCTTTCACATTGGTTAAGTATGTGCTGTGTTCGTAGCACAAGTCTGCGCTCCGTCACCACAAACTAACAGAAGCACCCACAAGTTTTCTCCGCGGCAAGGCAAGGGGAGGAAAGGGAAAGAAAACTTTTACAGGTAAATCACCTGCTACAGAGGCACTTTGACTCGCCGCTGCCCGCAGCTCACAGGCAAAGCACCGGCGCTCGGGATGAGGACAGGGCACCGGCTCGGATCTCGATAGCAGGATCGGGAAGGCAGGTTAGTTTTGTCACTGGTTTCAGTGGGTGCTGGATCCGACCTGCTTTCTCGGTATTATCCCCTCATGCCTCGCACCTACTGTGGTCCGAGACTCCAGGTCGCTGTCCTCACCCTTGGGAAAAGGTATCACGTGACAGATCGGCCGTTCTTAGTGGACCTCTAGACAGAGAAACTTGCTATGAAAAGCAAACCTGTTTGGCCTCAAGTACCGGCTGTCAAAGGTTTCCCCCACGCACATTCGTGGGGTCTGTTTGACCACTTGAAATTCAACAACTATTGAATTTCCAGTTGTGCTCTCTGCTCTGGCAGGGGTATGGAGGGGTGAGGGGACGTCTTTTCACCTGAATTTCAAAAATTATAGAATTCCTAGCGCTGAAAAAATATTACTAATGAGACACGGATCGGTATCACGATTTGTGAATCTGTCTGGAAGGTGAATTGCCTCCAAAGTATTGCAACCAGATATATTAAGCCAAAACAAATTATTAAAAAAATAAGACAAAGGAAAAAGAAAAGGTACTTCACATTTTCTTTCTGTCTTTCATCTTAGGCAGGAATCCAAGTAGATATTTCTGCTGCTAAAAGCAAGTTGCTTATAGAGAAAGCAACCCTCCAAAAAATCGTGAATAACACTACTACATTAGTTCTATATGTATTTAAGCATATTCCACTGCTTTTGATGTGACTGTTGTGTAGTGCTCCAAGGAAGGAATCTGCATTTTCCCCTCACATTGGTCTAATGGGCAAAATTGATGAGGAACCCGAAGCAGAAGAAGTAATCTTCCTGGGAATTAGTCAGAGGATTCTGGTTAGTTTTAAGGTTCTGAATCGTCTAAATTTCATCGCGGCAAAACTTTTTTTGGCGTGAGGAGGCCAGTCCGGGTATCTGGGTACCGCGGCGGGCGGTAAGCAGGAGGTCCCCGCCGCTTTTTGGCCCCGGTTAGGGGCGGGCGGCGGCAGGGCAATAGGGGCAGGTGTCACGATAACAACCCCTGGCGCAGGGGCTATCGCAACGGGAGAAGGTCTCTGGTTGGAGGCGAGACGGGGTTGAGGGTCGAGCCCTCGCCCATCGCCCGGAGGGACGCACGGGGACGGTGAAGTACCCAGCGATTTTGTGAGATTCCCAGCGATTTGCCTACACGGGCTCTGTGTGCAGCAGGTTTTCCTCACCATAAGGTCTTTGGGGAATGGGAGTTTAGGCCACAGGTGACTCGCCCAGAGGGTTTAGTGTGACTCCCGAGTTAGTGGCCTACACTCCGCATGACCGAAAGACGGTGCTATTTTCTGCAGCTAGTACGATGAAGATTACAGAGGGTTAGAACCTGCTAATTTGAGACTGTCAGAGGGGAAGGGAAACTTAACTATTTGACTAGAATTTTCTAACTTGTTTATATGCCTATTTTTCTTTATTCTTACGTATTTCATCTCTAAACATAGCCTTTGCAATGCTACACAAATTTTGCACCAGTAACCAAAAATCCCAATATACAAACAAAGCCAATCCCAATGCTGTTTAAAACCAGATGATGGTACAGGATGTAGAGAAATTAAATAGTACTCTTTCCTCCAATTTGAAAAGCAGGTGTAAACCGGTGAAGGGTAACATTTTTCACTTGTCAAATGAAACAGGGCAACATTCTTGTGATAACTATTAGATTTTGTCTATCTGCTGTACTGAAACACCTCATGCAGAAACAGGTTGCCTTCAGATTAAACTGCTCATGTGTTCTGCACAGAAAACACAGCTCAGTCTTTCCTGAGGGGGTGCAGTCAGGGTGATTGTAAACAGAAGAAATGGATGGAAGTTTACTCTTCATATCATCACACTACCAAAGATAGTGAAGCAAAAGTTAGTGTTAGAGGAATGGAGGCTTAGAAAAGGCATAGATCTCCCCCTCGTATGCTTCTGGTTTATTTTGACTAGGTAATATAGTGATTGTTATTTCTACTTATGGGAAACCATCCCTAAACAAGGCATTGCTTTGTGTATTTTAAGCTTATGGAGTGTGCAACTCAAGATAGAAAAGCAAATGCTGTAAGGATCTTAAGATTAGTGTGGTTTATGGTCTAAATGTGACAGCAATGTTTCAGTGGCTATGTTCTGATCTCAGTGGTACCTGCTATAATATAACAACCAGTCTCATAACTGAAAATCTGGACTCCATTGATCCAATCCTGAAGTCTCTCTGGATAGAAATTCATACGGTAAATCTGCTTGGAATTTTGCTGCTGCTCTCGTGGGATCAGATTTTCCTCTTTATTTTAAGATTTTATTTTAAAATATCCCTGCAAGTGCTTGAAATCTATAATAGTTTTGGTTTTGGAAAGCAAAGTTTCACTTTGGCTTCTGGAGTTTTGTGGGACATATGATTAGATTAACCAGCTTTAGTTAGATAAACCAGGTTTAATTTTAGACATTTCACACTAAAGACAAAACAATTACTGACTACAGGCCCCTATCCTGGACATATTTAAGTATGTAACTCTTTTGTTTAAAGAATTGGTGCTTATATGATGTTGTCACTGGCACTAGCCATGGAGGAAAGTACTCTTCTCAGAACCTCTGAAGGAAACCTAAGTTCAAGATCACTTCAGCTCAAAAGGATTCAAAGTCACCAAAATGGGTCAACTGCAAAATGGCACATGGAGTAAGTTATGCTTTTTGGTTCTATAGAAAGCTATGTAGCAACAGCAAATGCAGGGTTTATGAAGTGTCAAATAAGCCACAGGCTTTGTTTTTCTACAAAGGCAGAGTCCAAGAGTCATTGGAGAAAACACATCATGAATGGAGAGAGGGAAGGAAGGATAGGAATAAATGGCAAATTTTCACACCAGAGAGCCATATGGACAGTTGTTGGGTGTCCCAGAAATTCATAATTGTGGTGTGCAAATGGTGAGTTACAGTCGTGAAAATGACAAATGTTTGCTAATATTAAGTTGTTCATACTAACAAAAAAGAATAGCCAACAAATTGGGAATTTCTGAAAGATATCCACACTGAGCTACAGGATAATAAAATGGAAACTGAAATCCACTGTTGATGTATGCAAACTGATATGCATGGGGAAAACATTTCTTGTTTTATATCATAACAATGGGTCCTGAACTTTGGATGCTTATTAAATTATGGCAAATATCTCTAAGAAAATGTTGGCTTATTAGTCATTATCTGTGGAAAAAAAAAAAAGAAAAGAACTGTGGGGAAAAAAAGAACATAACAGAAAATACTATGTCCCTATTTAAACCCAAAGGAATCTGGAATGCATCAGGAAGACCTGCAAGTTCTTCACACCTGAAAGGAGATATATTAAAACTGTCAGAATACAGAGAGTATTATGTGGGATGATCAAGCGTACATCTTCTGTACAAGTAGCAATTCAATAGTCTGAGACTCCTCAGCATGGAAAGCAAGTATATAGAGAGATGTATGACACAAATTTACAAAACTGGGAGAATTCTGGAGAAGGAGGTTAAGGCACACTTGCTCATTCTTTTTCTTAATACCGAAACTGGCAGTCATCAAAAACATTCAAAGGAAAAAGGGGATACTTCACACAACATGTAATTAAATACTGAATTCGTTGTTTCAGGATGTTGAGGGTGTTAAAATTTTACACGCGTTTTAAGAACAAGTGGAAAATTCATGTAAGATAAATCCACTCATGCTTGTTCCATAAAAAGGTGCTATCTCTTGCTCAGATTTGCTATGCTAGTAATATATTTCTGAAAGTATCATGACATATTTTTCCTGTCCTACTCTTTCTAGAGCATCCATTGTTTGCTTACTGGGCTAGGAGACATATGACAGTTGTTCATGATTAGGGTTTGTGACTTTCATTTGTAGCCAATTGTCCTGAATGAAAGCAATTCTTTAATGTTATTTCAGTGTACAATATATGAAGTAGACATCATGGATGTTTGTAGGGATGCAGTTGAAAAGAATAAAGACTCCAAAGGCTAACTGCATATGTTTTATATGAAAAATACTTTAAATGGTCCAGGAATGAACCAGTTCCTCATTTCAAAGACAGTGCCACGTTGATTGGAATAACTTGCTTATTTTCTGATGAAATCAATTTTAACAGTTAGAAAGTTTATGCATGAGAGACTAGCCCCTTTTTTATATTATGACTGCATAACTGATGAAGTTAACTGAATATGGGTACAGATTTGAATTCTCTCTAGTATGGACAAGGAACTCAGACTTCTGTGTCTTGGTACTATAATACTGGGCAAGTCTGTGCCATGCATATCTGAAGCATCCATGATGTTCTAGGCACTGGCAGAGGTGTCAATGTATTACTGTTGTCTATACCTCCTTCTCTGGTTGCAGGACCAGTGAAAAGAAACTGCTTTTTGAAGGAGAAAATAAACAAGTTCTGACACATGGAAAAAAACAGCTCTAGTGCTGAGGTTCACAGAGCTTTGGAAGATAAATTCTACTGCATTTGACATCCAGAATGTAACACAGTATCTTATATTTCCCTAGATTTCACACGGATGCTTAGTCTACAGCGGGAGAGGTAGTCATTCAAATTTGTTTTTAAGGCAAAAGACCTGGGAGAAACCTATAAATTCACACTGCATGAACTGCTTTATTATGCATTACTCATTAAAGTAATCATTGAACAATAGAAAGTAACAGCCCTTAGAACAACCATAGAGACCAATGATGCCCCAGATTTTTAAGCCCGAGAGTTATCTTAAAGCAGGCATTTGAAAAATTAAAACCAACTTGATATTCCTTATCAACTAATCATGCCTATTGTTAAAAGGTAGGTTTTGGGCTGAATATCATATTACCCAGTGAATAGATCAATAGGCAAAGAGTTCTTACACTGGTAAGGGCTGCTAATTTTTACTATCTTCAATTTAACAAAATATAGGCTTTTAATTCTGTGAACTGTACAACAAACTCCCGGCGTGGATCAGGTCTTCCTTTCATGATGGTCTGAATAACCTGAAGTTCAATCAATGATTAATACTGGATAGAATTGCATAGAGAAAGAATGAAAATGCATTTTCATGTACTGCTCACACCATAGAACTGCTACTGAAAAATGATCATTTGCTGAACAAGTGTAAAAGAAACTTCGTAACATGATTGTAGAAGATATTCGTGTTTTATTAAGCTGTTATTTTATGTGGTACGTGTGATTTGGATTTATCCTCTCTTAAGTCTTGAAATTAGGTTTTTCTTAATCCCTCTGTGATCTTTTGACTGTGGTTGGTATGAATTTGTACCATAACAGATTAGTAAATATGCAAATTACTGTGATACTTCATATGCTTAATAAAATATATGGTTGTCACTGGTAGGTGCCTACATCTTGTTTAACTGATTATTACTGACTGCTTATGAAATGCTTTCCTGCTACACAAGACTTTGGAAGAAAATGCAACGTAACATCCTACATTGCTAGTTGATTATTACAATATACAATTTTTAAAGCGGAGTGGGACTGTTGGGATGAGACTAGAAAGAGAATCAATTAATTTCTTCTTCAACTATTTGCAGCAGAGATAAAGAAAAAAACATAAAAGGATGAATATGATACATCTTAAAAATGAAATGGCACCAGTTACACCAGTGAAACAGATAAAAAGTGAATTGAGATCCTTACTGAGCCTCTGTATCTTTACATTGTATCTGTTTATAAGATTTCTTAAAAATGGGAAATGCCTTAATTTATTTAACAACATTCAACTTTGTTGAAAACAAACAAACAAACATGGTGAAAACATGGGTTTAAATTTGACAGATACAAGAAGCTCAGAAGATTCCCTTTACTAATAAATTGTAAGACCGCAGGTTTGAGCTACAAGCTCATTGAAAGGGTTTTACTTAAAAAAATATACAAGGCTCCAAAAATCCACCCATCAGATTATTAAAAGAGTCTTCAGTTTTTTATATACTTTCGTAGGACGCAAGGGAGAAGACATGATGCACATTTCTCAGGAGATCAAATAACACACTTTTATTCACAAACTAGAAAATAAGTGAACTTGGCAAAAGTTTAAAGGGCGATATTCAACCGAAATAAAGCATTTCACAAAGCATTGACTCAGCACGTACTAACCTATACAACTCAGCAAAATCCAACCCATTCAGCTTTAAGTTACCCAAATATCAAGAAAAGAGATTAGGAGAGGAAGAAATAAAGAAAGAGCAAGAAAAAGAGGGAATTACGGCATATCCAGCATAGATGCAGCTACAAGGAGCCCAGGAAATGGCAGGACCACAACCACGCATGTCCTTGTTTTTATCTACTCTGGCTCCCTGTGGCCACCCTGCCAGCATGACTTCTGGCCCACTGACCACTCCGGGGCTGGACTGCGGCTCTGGGGTGAGGTGAGGGGCAGTGCTCCCAGTGTGCCAGTGACAGCTGCTCTGGGACTGCGTAAAGAGGCTTGAAAGGGTTGGGGTATGGTGCAGGGCACTATTTCACCTTCATGAAATTCAACTGTCCCTTCCTCCACACACACACACTTGAGTTGGTCTGAGTCAATAATTAATATAATAAGCCAGTGCCTTACACAAATAAGTAGAAAAGTCATTGAATATGCAGGACTATGAATGAAAGTCAAGAAAAAAATAGGAATTCCTCATAATTCACAATACCTTCAGCATACATACAGTACTCTTACTGTCACCTTCATTCATTCCTTCCTTGCATAGTACTTTTTACCACGCTGAGTTTTGTTCATTTCTGATTGTGATTTCAGCTCCATAGTACCAAATTCAAAAGTGTTTACTCTACAATCCATGTTCTTCCAATTTGACAATGAATTCCTCCTAAGTTCTTCTGGAGTATGAATTTTCATGATCAAATCCCTATTTTTTGTGAGATGTTATGATTTTATGTAATTTTTTCAGCTACTGACACTACAATTCCTTAATGTGAAGAATTTCTCTAGGGAAGTTAAGTATGCTGTCAATAGATTTAGTTTTCCTAATTTCCTAATTTCCTAATTCTGCCTGAGAAGCATCACAAACACACATTTCTCCCAGGCAGGAATCAGAAAACTGTTGAACTCAACCTCACTCCTCTGATTTGCTGAAAATTAAAATTGTCACTGGAACTGTTCTCTATTTAGGTGGCCAGTGAGAAGAATGCGATCACACTAGTGAGTTGTCATCAGAGAGGCAGCTTGTGACTCTCAGCAGTTTTCTGGAAGTCCTGAAAGTGGTGAATGAGGATTTTTTTTGACTTCGTGTCAGAAGACGGCAGGAAGGCATTCGTCACTACTGGCTTTTAAGAGCATATCTTTCTAACACTAGCTGTTTGGTGAAGAAGATAGCTGCAAGACCTCTACCAAGGTTTACTCTCTTCTGCAGGAAATTGCCTCTTTTGAACAACAGTCTGAACTTTTTCATTCTGATGTCAACAATCCCTTCCTTGGGAAGACTAAGAGGAAAAGTAGATTCACATCTTGCTGGTGGATATAATGAAAGGAAGGATTCAATTACTGTGTCCCAATACAGCTAGGACATTCAGAAACTTCTCTATGGGTACCAAAACTTGTTAATACTGCTGCTATGTGTTTAGAAACACTACTTTCTGGCCCACCAGACCAAATGATGAAAACAGTTCGGGATCTCCTTAGTGAAAGGCATCACTGTAACAAAAGAAGAGATAAACAAAACCCAACCAAACAAATAAAACCAAAACAAAAAAACCCCCAAAAATAAAAAAAAAAATTCTCGGGAACTTGCAAGTTAGAGGAGAAGTGAAGTTTTACACACTCAAAGAATCAGCAGGTCCAGTAAAGATTGAGTTGGATTTTTTTTCATGCTAGATATAGACGCAGAATATAAAAAGCCACTACTGCCATATTATACAGACAGAGAATATAAAGAAAACCTAGCTTCACTTAGTTAGCTGGTAATAGAGACAGGGGATGTATCTAAACCTCACAAATATTGGTTCAAGTCTCACCTTGCAAGCTCCTCTTCTCTTTCATGGGAACAGCTTTTCATTTTGATACTTTCCTTTAAATTCAGTTCCCAGAAAGGGATAGGTGGAAACAATAAATGGCTTTTGAAATACCACATTGTGTTCATAAAACTCTAGTGTAGCTGCTGGTATCTGTCCTGCTTGGAAGAAAGCAATAATAAATATCCACCTGCATTCTCATGCAAATAAGCTTTGGTTCCAGCACTGCCTCAGAGACAGTCTGAATGCAGATTTCCTCTTTACTTTGAGTCTTATCTGAGCCAAATATTTTCATTTTCTTACTGAGATAAGCTATCTAATCAAGTTTCCTTATCCCTTTGAGCTCTGTGGTTTCTGATTAGCATTATCCCTTTTCCAAGCGCTATGGAGCGTCGTCTCCTTGGAAGAATTGCCTTGCTCTGCCTCAATGTCCTGATGCTGACAGATGGCAGAGTCCAGACCCAAATATGGATAGATGGATGGACGTCATGTTTTTGTTGCTTTGCACTTAACCAATTAGGCAGCTGCTTTCATCTCCAGCATGGACACTACCCAGTTCTTGGTTATGCAACTACTTATTCTCAATATTTTTGCTTACCAAATGTTTCCTGCTGTCCTATCTAGCAGTGACAAAATACTGGAAAATGGGCAGATGAAAGTTTCACAGAAGCAGCAAAGGATGCTGAGAGCTTGTTAAATATTCTAGCAGGTCCTCATCCTAGGAATTTCCATGAACTGCATTGTCATCCAAATGCTTTGGGAGGCCTTAATGATCACAAAGGTTTCAGCTGGACCACCCAGAGCTGTAAATGGGAAAAGAAGCCTCAAGGGCCTCTTGTAGGATTAAAGTTGCTCCCACTTTAACATCTTGAAAGTATTCTATGAGGGCCTTCCCACTATCATCAAGTAATGAAAACCTATCTTTGTTCTTATCCAATCACTTTAGTATCACTGTCCTGCCTGAAAGCTAGACAGGAAGAAAATAGTCACCTGTAAGACTGACCTGAGAGAACTGTTATGTCGTAGCAGTAAGACCACTGGAAAACAAATCGTAATGATTTATGTATCCTGATACAATCTAATTAATATGCTACCCGCCTATAGAATTAGCACTAATTTTTGTGTCCTGCATCATGAAGAAATGTTCCTTGTCTGCCAGAAACTAAACTAACAAAGATGCTACTGATGGCCCCTCTATGAATCTTGCATTAATAAAGCTTCCATTCAAGAAGAGTATCCAATTTTAAAGCTTTTACAAATGAAAAGGGTAGGATGCATTTAATGACTTAAACTCAGCAGGAGAAAGGAGAAATGACCTTACAAAGTAACAGATACAGTTAGGCAGGGAGTTGCAAAATTGGCAATATGTGTACGTTAATACAATTATAAAAGAAACAAATTAAACTACATTATAGCCATCAAAATATGTAGCTACATGGACTATATATATAAAACTAGTATAAAACCAGATTTTTGAACCATAGTATTCTATTTTCTATCATAATTCAAATTGAGTGAAATATATTTATTCCACCACTTCTATAATAACATAGCTACTTGTCTGGAAACAGGTACATAATGTAAATAAACAGGAATAATATAATAGATACATTATTTTAAAGCCATTGTAAATACACCACTGAGAAATCTTCCCCCAACACTGGAGCAGAATAGAATATAATCAAACTATTGCAAATTGTTCAATGCTGGAATTGAGGCTGTAGTGAATATCCGACATATGATCTATTAATACTTTATTTTTCACGTGGGTGGGTGCATCTGCTTGTCCATAGTTATGAACTGAAAACCTGCTACCTATGTACGTCTTCTGCTAGTGAATATGTGTAATAAGCAGAAAAATCAAGGCAAAGAGACAACCATATGGCAAGATCATAGATTGTACAAAAGACAAATATTCTCACTAGTATCTGATGTTTATAAAAACTTACAGCCATTGGCTTGTATTTTAAGTGGGACAGTAGCACTTACTTTGGCCTGTTGAGAGACTGTCCAAGCACATGATAGTTGTTTCGCTGTTCTAAGAGCAAGAACTTTTAAGAGCATGTTTTTGAGATACTAACATTAAAACAAAAGTCTTCTTTGTGAAGCACTGAAGCTGTACATTTTATGAGGTGAAAGTTTCCACCGGTCTCTGACAATTTTTAGAGACTCAGAGAAGATAATTTAATCACATGAGAGAATATTTTAATGTAAGAAGACTCCCTCATTGAGAAGAACATGTTTCAAAGTACAAAAATGTCATCATTTTGCCTTACCTTCTAAATCCTTCTGTAAATTGTAGACAGTGTATCAAATATATCAGAAATGGAATGTTATGTGCACAGACATTAACAACATATGATCACAGTGTACTCTTAGAT